CTATTTTCCATGACTCTGCAACCTTGTATGCTAATTGCACTAACAGTACTGCTCCATTTAGCTCCAATCTAGGAATAGTCACTCCTTTAAGTGGAGCAACTCGAGTCTTTGAACACAAAAGCTGTGCATGCCATTTCCCGTCATAGCCTAATGAACGAACATAAATGCAGGCACCATAGGCTTCCATAGATGCGTCACAGAATCCATGTAACTCAACTAAGGCGTTAGCATTGTAAATACATTTTCGGGGAATAGATAATTCCTTAAGCTTTTCTAACTCAGAGTAATAAAGGCGCCATCGTTTTTGCAATTCCTCTTGAAGTGGCGAATCCCAGTCAACCTTCAGCTGCCATAATTGTTTGAGAAATATTTTTCCTTTAACGAGGACTGGTGAGAGAAACCCTAGAGGATCAAATATCCTATTTAACTGAGATAACAGTGTCCGCTTAGTTAGTTTAGTATCTCTAGAAATGGCAATTATATTGAATCGGAAGTCATCAATGAATGGTTTCCAACCCAGCCCTAATGATTTGACAGTATCATCATCGCTAATATCCAGTGTGAAAAGTGGGTCTTGTTCATTTTTTCCAATACCTTTTAACACGGACTCTGAGTTAGAACACCACTTACGCAATGGCATTTTTGCAGAATCCAGTATTGTGCTTACTTCTTGCTGCAATTGGAGACATTCTGCTTCAGTATCACAGCCAGTCATTAAGTCGTCCATGTAGAAGTCTTGTCTTATGACACTTGATGCTCTGGGATACGTTTGCTCATTTTGTTCTGCAAGACTGATAAGGCATTGGGTGGATAAAAATGAGGCAGGTGTTGTCCCATACGTGACAGTAGTTAAACGATAGGTCTGAAGAGTCTTACTGGGATCCGCTCTCCATAAAATTCGTTGTAGGTCCCAGTCTTGCTCTGAGATTTCAATCTGTCTGAACATCTTTTCAATGTCTGATGTTATCACGTATTGATATTTCCTAAAACGGGCCAAAATAGCAAATAACTCTTCTTGCACTGTTGGACCACGCTTAAGTACATCATTTAAAGATAACCCGGAAGAACTGTTTGCTGAAGCGTCAAACACTACGCGAAGTTTTGTTGTTAAACTGGATGTCTTCAGCACTGCATGGTGTGGTAAATAGTATGATCTGTCCGGGATTGTTGTTTCATTAGATACGCATTTCATGTGTCCCATATCCAAATATTCTTGCATGAACTTGATGTATTCCGTGCGCAAATGCTGATCGCGTTGCAGTCGTCTTTCAACACTAAAGAACCGTGATGTCGCCATTGTTATACTGTTTCCCAATTTATGCACGGTTTCCTTGACCGGTAAACGAAGAACGAAACGTCCATTTTCGTTTCGCATGGCAGTTTCGTGGTAATGCTGAACAGTCTCTGTCTCCTCTAAACTCTTCAAGTTTGACTTAGATGTCTGACCATAACCTGAATCCTCTCTTAGCAGTAATGCCTTCCAATCTTCTTCAAGGGCTTCACCCACAGAGTTGATCCCTAATAAACAAGTGGCCTCTAATTCACCAGTTACTACCCATCCAAATTGGCTCTCTTGCAAGCACAAGGCTGCAGGCAGAAGCATCCGTCGCTCAGTGCCCAAAATATCGAAGAATATGCCACCGCCTATCAGAAGATCAACTGCCCGATGTTTGTCAAAATCTGGATCTGCCAGTTGTGGAATCAGCTCTGATGGTATGTTCCATCCTCCCTGAGGTTCAGCACATGATTGTAACGCAGAGACAATATTTGGTAATACATAACAAAGTAGGTCCACTTCATAGTCACTTACTCGAGATGACACCTTAATATTTATGGACGATGCTGCTTGGACTTGCTTTGCGCCTATTCCACTTATTGGTAAACAGGTCTTTCTTGCCGGTAATTGTAGCAAGGTTGCCAATCTTTTAGATATGAAATTAATTTGTGAGCCACTGTCGAGTATAACTCGACATTGGCATTTATTTCCAAATTTGTCAAGAACTATAATGACAGCGGTAGCAAGAAAAACATGAGCTCGGCCATCACCAGCTAAGAGTGCAGTGCTTTGATTTGGAGAGGAAACCGTACCATCGTCCGCCTTAGGCTTGGCCACATCTTTGGGCTTTTCAAAATGCAACAATGTGTTATGGCTTCGTTTGCAATAACGACAAGTATAAATTGACTTGCATGCATTAGATAAGTGTCTAGGTGATAGGCAATTGAAACAGAGTGATTCTTTTCGCACGAATGAGAGACGCTCAGCTAATGAAAATCCCTTGAACTTGTCACAAAAATACAGCTTGTGATTTCCAGAACAGCAATGACATGATTCTGTTGCACTGGAAACTACCAAGGACCTTTTTGGCACCAAATTGCTCTTCTTAACGTTGGAGATCGTTGACTCTCCCCCCGTAGGCTTAGATCGGGTCCTTGAAGCTTCTAATGCGACACATCGACTAGCAAGAAAGGTTTCGAGGTCCGAATATTTTGGCAATTTAGTGTTTTTCTGGTGCAGCAGCCATGAATGGGCGGTCCCCTTATCCAAACGGCTAGTTACAATTGTTATCAACCATGCGTCCCAATGCTCAACTGGTTGATTTAACGCCTTAAGAGCTGCAACCTGAGTACATACACAGGAGTATAATTCGTTTATTGTCTCAGAGGATGCTTCTTCGACTTGAGGACAGTCGAGTATAGACTGAATATGTGACTGTATCACCAGGCTTTGATTGTCAAATCTTTGTATTAACCGCCTGACAACAGTTTCGTAATTGGCGTCACTAACAGGAATTGAGCGCACTAAATCCAATGCTGATCCTTCTAAACACGAACGCAGATAGAAGAACTTTTGAGCAACTGAGTATGCGTCATCATTGTGCACCATAGCTTTAAAGACGTCATAAAAGGACGACCACTTTTGAATATCGCCGTCAAACTTGGGTAAAGGAATTGGCGCTAATTGAACTCGAGCCGGAACGTATGTGCCACCGTACGATTGATTGTGGCCCGTTGTATTTAATCCCTTTTCTTGATTGATAATTTCTTGGATTTGTGATCGTATTGCAAAATATTCACTTTCAAATCTATCCCTTTCCAACTCAGCTTCTTCAGTGTCATCAGAATCAATAAGTTCAATTTCGCATTGAATACCATCAAACTTACGATTTATTTGAGGAAGCTCTTCCTGTCTGAACTCCAGTAGTGATAAAGCTTGTTCGGATGGATCGAATTTTGAAATAAATGTTCGAACGCGCGTAAGTGAAGCTTTAACAACGCCTCGTTTTCGTTTTAATTCTGTCAACAGTTTTTGTGCGTTTTCGTCTAGTACCATTTTGATGAATTAGAACGAAGCAGAATAATATCGAAAAACACAGATTTTAAATACCAAATAAGACAAAAAAATAATATAAAATAATAACGAAATTGAAGTACCCAAATTGGTTAGTTACTCAGTCTCAAATTAAATCACTCAATTTTACTATTACTTTTTTATTTACTAAAGAAATTTAATTAAAAACACTATTAAATTTGGTAACGCGTTTCCAAGAGTTTACTAAAATTCACAAAATAACTCAATAGAAATGATTCAACACACAAAATGAAATTCAAAATTGAACAACAAAACACAGAACACTAGAACGGTATAAAAAATAAAAATATCACGTCGAGGTCACCAAAATGAACGGGCCGGGGGCGGACAATAATAGGCCACTTACCCGGTTACCAACTACTTTACACTTACCGATCAGTGCTGTGTGGGTAGTGGGGTAAATAGTCTCACTGGAAGTGTGAGGGATCGCCTACACAAGACCAGTGAGCTATGTGGTGCAAAAGTGTGTTTAGTGTGTATAGTGTGGATGTGTAGGAAACTTAAAACTATAACTAAAAACTAAATAAATAAAACTCAAACTCGATGATAATAACAATAATAATAATATTCAATAAAATGATATAACAAATGGTAATAAATAAATAATTAGCCTTTTTGGCTCAAGATACAATTGTGAATAAAATTCACAAACACAAATAAATAATTAGTATAAAAAAAAGATTGGTAAACTAAAAAGAAATTAATTGCCCTTTTGGCACAATAATAAATTAATCTGGTCTGTGAATAATAATTCACAAACACAAATAAATAATTAATATAGTAATGACTAGATTAAAAGGTAAGGTTAAGTGAGTGCTTAAAGCTTATGACGTTAAAAGTATTTTGATAACTAAGGTGGTTATTAGAACAACAAAAATTAATCACAAATACAAATATTGATTATTGACTAGATTGAACCCTTATGGCTAACTAGCAATATAGATGGTACGATTAACCTTATGTCTATCGCCCTAACTTGTATTTAGTAAATGAGATCAAAATATGTTCTAATAATTCACAGTAGTTAACTAAAATACAAATAAAACAAACTCAATAAAATATGGTATAAATAAAAAGTACTCACAAACCGAAGAACTGCAAACCGCTGGCCAGGGCTGCTACCTAAACCTAAATAATACTAGACACAAAGTAAAGTGAACAACAAAACAAAAATATTAAAATAGTTTTTTGTCCTTATGACAACTCAATAATGCCCTTATGGCTTAAAAATACAATAATAAACAATTTTTTGTCCTTATGACAACTCAATAATAAAAAATCACAGTGCCCTTATGGCTTAAAAATACTATAATAACACTTAAAACTAAAAAACACTGAAGAAAAACACACAAAAAAGTCTAGATTAATATTATACTTTAAAATTCAAGAATGCAACAAGTGCACTACTAACACTGATAATACGGGCGTGGCACATTTGTTTACATAGTATAACCCGGTGCGTATATGTGTGTGTGTGTGTGTGTGTGAACAGCTGACCGGTAGTAATGCCAGTATAGATCGTGCGGAGTAAGGCGGAGTGGTGTGGACGGCCGCGACAACCAAGATAAGAGGGCATCTGTATCATTGGCGATAACCGGCATAGAATTGCGCTCCATTACCTGTTATAGCCTCAACAACCCTCTTTTTCTTGGACTGTGACTGTGTCATCATGCCAATTTTCCCACATACTATCCACTGCTTCTTTGTCTTCGAGCACATCCGCACAGTCGACTTCTTCGAGAACCACCATAGCTTGTGTTGCAGTGATTAACTTTTCGCTTGCGTCGCCATCTTTGCCGGCTATTATTAATTTTTGTGCATCTTCGACGACATCAGCATAGAATGGATGAAATTCATGTGAGTTAACTGTGCACAAATATAAAAAAACATGTTAAAAACAGTTATAATACCGTACAATTTATAAGTAAACTGTGCCATGAAATAAAAATCGCTAGAATCATGGCCAAATTTGGTATTTTTTTTGAACAATATGACATTAAGCACGAATAAAATGTGCATTAAATATTTGTTCTTATTTACTCATTTCGCTAAGTCCAGTCTCGTAATTTTACTAAACATAAATAAATCAGGAAAAACCTCCCAAAAAAATAAAAATCCTTAATATTATTATGTAGACGGTAGAATGTATAATACAATACCAACAAAACATTTTGAAAGAACAATTGAGTGTTTCTTGATTACAAAATAGTTTAATCGGATGTATTTAAATACTTCATTCTAAATTTAAATTACTGTATGTATGTGTTCTAAATCTACTTTCTGCCATATTTTTCGACCATGTTTACAGCAACTATTTTCAAAATGTATATTTTTTAACGATAAAGTTTTTCTAAGTCCGACTGGTACTTAAAGGTATTAAGGTTCTAAAACCAGCATCAAAAAAAAAAAAAAAAACAGGTATTTACAGAATGGAAATTGGATTAATTTCATTAACCTAATCTTCCTTTTGCGTATTATACAAAAATAAAACAAAATAATGACTTAGATACTTACAACCATCAGTTTTCTCATCTTTTTGAAAACATTTATATAAATAAGGTTCAATAAGCCTACATTGAAGACTTGTTATCGGGTCATAACTGTTCAAACCCTCGTCAATGGCATTTTCATCCAAGGGCCTATCCTCCTCATCCTCGTCCTTCTCATCCTTTTCCTCCTCAACCTCGTCACCCACCCCCTCGTCCCCCACCCCCTCGTTGCCTGCCTCCTCGTTGCCTGCCTCCTCGGAGGACTTATGACGCTTCGAGGGAGGCGTATCCGGGGAAGATGTCCTTGGGGGTGACGCAGCATGTAATGAAATCTGAAAGACGTACATACACAGTATTAGTACTATTAGTAGTATCATAGCTCTTGACGACTGTCTTGACAAATACCAGTAGAGTTATAGTTTTGCAGGTTCATTGAAGATAAGTCCAAGAAAATTGGGTACGACGTTATAGAGGTTCTGGGAACACTTGTTCCCATTGTCTAGTATAGTAAGATGCCTAAATATGTAGTTTGCATGATGACAAAGATCACTGCAGTCGTTTTTAGTTACATTATGTTACGGACAATAAGTAAAATATTACTATTATATCAACATTATGAATATATATAAAAACAAAAGAGTAGATATTCGTATTTGTTATGTTTTGTATAGAATGTTGCACTTACGATGAGACCAAAGGAAAAAATTGCAAATAACATGACACAACGAAGACGCATGATTGAGTTCATGGTGAGAATACCTATAATAAAACAAAAATCAATAATATTTATTATTTTTCATCGACAAACATACCTAATGAAATAATAGTAATAATAATGAAATAATAAATCGTCAACGATCAATTCTGTATTACAAACTAATAGAAGAATAAACCGTTCACGAATGAGTCAATAAAATGTAAGTATTTTTAACTGATATAATCATACAAACAATACAAAAATATAAATATGATAAAATAATACAAATAAATTAACTTAGTTTAAAACGCTATGAAATTATATGCAGTAAATTTATAGATGACGAATGCACTCTAAACATACTGTCAAAGCAAAATAATTTTTAATATTACTTACTTTGTAGTTGTTTGATAAACCTTATGGATTAAGTTGTGTGTGAGAAACACAAAAAACCACTAATACAGTTTACAGTGTTCGGTTTGACTTTATGTAGTTAGTTTTGTGACTCTCCTCCACTTGCCGCATTTTCTTAAAATGCAAGTAACACTCATTTTGCAACCAATTGTGTTTACATAGGATAACCAATAGGATTCTATTGTAAATGGTAAGACGGCTCTTCGCTACCCCCACTTGTTGTCTGGCTTGTCCAATGTGGTTCTAACACATATTTTTGTTAGCGCCCATTGTATGGTGAGCCGTACATAGCAAATTAAATTCAATTTGAAGAAACTATAGAATAGAATAATTAAAAAAAAATATTTAATTATTTAAGGTTTTATTTTATGCTCCGAATTTTCGTTGTACGTTTTAAATGTGTGAACATTGTACGGTTAGTGATATTTTTTTTTATTGTGTTTTATTTACCATCTCGATAGCAACGAACATATGAGTCATAATAATACACATAAAAAAGCCCCTAATAATAGATGTACTCAGATTTTTCGTACTATTAAATGCGTTAGTATATAAAATGCCTTGGAGTTGTATTATGTCAAACATATTCGTTGTAGACACAAATATGCTGTATACACCTTTGGGTAGAATTTACAGAAATGAGAAAATTGTAAATACATTTATAATATATTATTATTTATGTAATATTAAAAAAAGCCTGTACAGTGGGGTCGGGACATATTTGGGAGGGGGAGGTCACAGGTTTACAGGAATTTTTAAATCTGAAAGTGATAAAATCACTTTCGAAAAAAAGCTTCGATGCAAATTGGTAGTTAGTATTACCGTGAAGCTGTGTGTGAGTAGTCATGGAAATTGACTACGGTCAAAGTGTATTTCACCCTTATTTTGTAATTTTCCTTAATAAAGTAAAAGTTTGATCACAGCTTTTTTGACAAAATTGTATATCCCGAACAAATCTCTAAAAATTTGCTTCGAAAAGTGAAATAAAGAAAAATTGTCTATATTTTTTATTGGAAACGGTTTAAATTTAGTGGTCTTATAGTTTTAACACTTTAATGGAATAAAACAAATTTTTTTGCACGACATACATCGTCGGTTGTATTTTATGTTTCAGCTAAAGTTTATGGTAAAGTAAATTAAAACATAAAATAGTGAGATTTAAACATTAAACAAAAACAAAGCTATTAGGGATATCAACAAAACCGACGTTTAACCAAAGCCTTTCAAACGAGGATATTTATAGATAAAAAAATAATAATCCAATTAATCTAATCAGACAATTAAAAAAAGTCGTTAAAATGCTTTAAAATTATTGTAGAAATTGCATTAAAAAAAAAAATTAAAAAGCTACGTCTTTTTTAATTGATAAAATTTATAAACTTCAAAGTTCAATCGAATTGTATTTTACTAAAAATAAAAAAAAACAATACAGTGGGGTCGGGGCATAGTGGGGACGGAGCATAGTTGGTTTGGGGCATAGTGGTGGCGGGGAGGTCACAGGTTTACAGGAATTTTTAAATCTGAAAGTGATAAAATCACTTTCGAAAAAACGCTTAGATGCAAATCGGTAGTTAGTATTTTCAAGCCAGTACGTCCAAACCAAGCACAGTATAAACCAGCAAATTTAGAAAGTTATAAATGAAGGTTCTGTATTTACAAATGAGCATCAAAGCGTTTATTTGAAAGCGATTTTATTCAATTTTAGCACTTTTATTTATAATAATTCTTGTAGACATGTGACCTCTCCGTTTCCTCATTGCTTTGATTACATTATGCCAATACTCTACTGTACTAGCCCTCTCGGATAAAATCACTTACAAATTAACGTTCTAACTTAAAAACTCGTAGGGTTTTTTTTTGTTTTTTCAAATTTCGTCTATGAAGAATTAAACTTTTTCAACTACCCCCCCCCACCCAAAGAACAAACTAGATAAAATTTGTGATTTATAGAGTTGCTATTCGAAGGAATGGTCTAGTATTAAAAAAGTTACAGTGTATACAGCGAAAAAAAAAGCCCACATCAGAGTAAAACCAATACCTTCTCGCTTTGCATCGAAGCTAAAACCAGTACTTGAGTATCAAAACTCAATAGTACCATTGTGAATAGATGTCAATAAAAATGTTTTATTGATTTGATACATTTTTTTATTTGTGATTTAAGGTGTTTATGTTAAAATCTACAAAATCTGCTAAAAACGCAGTTTTCCACTAATTAAATATGAACTGTAGTTCTGAATATTTATTTCGTTTGTTATGGGTACATATGAGTTCTAACTCCTGACAAATTTTCAACTTAAAGGTCGTAAAATTACGGCTAAAAAAACCTGAACTACCTCTAGGAAGGTGGGAAATGGGTCTAATTTAAATTTGAAACTATTTACGTACAGGAGCATACAAAATAAAAATATTCCTTATACATTTCAACTCGATCCGACTCTTTTTCTCGAAATTATAGCCAGCAAAAGTTCAACCTTTCTTAGCTCCGCATCGAAGCTAAAAAAATCAAAAACGATTTACATAAATTGTTATTTTTTTTTATTTTTCTAGTAAATCGTCAATAAGTCGGGTTGGCCGTGTATTTCTCGAGACCTTGAATTTGTTATCGTCTTTCAGAAGTTTAAAAAGTGGTACTTGAGCACAAAACTTAATTGTATCATTCTGCATAGATATACATAAAATTGTTTTAATGATTTGATCAATTTTTTTTAAAGATTTTAGGTGTTTTTGTTAAAATATACGAAATCTGCGAAAACACAGTTTCCCGGCAATTTAAAAAAAAATGTAGTGCCGAATTTTTTTCCCGTTTAATATGTTATGGATACATATCAGTTCCAACTACTGGCAAATTTTCAACCCAAAAGTTTTAAAACTACGGCTAAGAACCCCGAAAAACAAAAAAACTTGTACCCCCCCTAGGGGGGTGAGAAATGGGTATAGTTTAGGTTTGACACAACTGACGTGTGCGGGCATACCAAATAATTATTTCTTATACATTTCAACTCGATCCGACTCTTTTTCTCGAAATTATAGCCAGTAAAAGTTCTAACTTAAAATCTCGTACGGTTTTTTTTTTGTTTTTTCAACTTTCGTCTGTGAAGAATTAAACTTTTTCGACTTTTACCCCTCCCAAAGTACCAACTAGATGAAATTTGCGATTTATAGAGTTGCTACTCGAAGGAATTGGTCCAGTATTAAAAAAGTTACAGTGTATACAGATAAAAAAAAAAAACACACATCAGAGTAAAACCAATACGTTCTCGCTTTGCATCGAAGCTAAAAACGATTCGTATGTTTTCATTTATGTAAACAGTGGAAATGGGAACGCTCATCGAACAACCCAAGTGTTTTTCTATAGTAAAAAAAATTTTGTTTTCGAGTTAATGCTTAGGCGAGAATTCGATTAGTAATACTTCCATAGAAAATCGTACATATAAATCATTATTTACTTTTGAACTCGGTGTAACTTTTGAAACACATGTGCCAATGTGCGAAATTATACAAAACCTTCGCTCTCTACCAATTAAAATAATTTTTACACCTATGCAATGGTCTTATCATTAATGACTTATTGGTTCGTATTGGCCTAAAACGGAAGCCCTAATTTGTTGGAAATTGTCCACCATCTTTTATGGTCTCCGCCGTTTTAAGTATTTTCAAATTGAGCGAAACCCCAACCAGCAGTGGGTATTTTGAAAATTGATAAAAAGATTTTTATTCAACTCAAACCGAATGTTTTCGTCACGGTTTAAAGACGCAATGAGTACGCTTTAGAATAATTGTAATTTTGTAATATTTTTTTTTTTTTTTTTTGAGAACATTTTGGGTTATCATATTTTACAATATTATAAAAATACTAAACATCAACCTTTTTTTCTATTATTTTCCATAAGCCTATCAACTTTTAAAAACTTAAACGGCAATTTGTGTACATATTTAATTTACTATTTAAACTGAGAATTAGTTTCTGAATAGTATACCGGTCGATAACCAGTTTTGGCTAATCACTTTGGGAGTTATTAAACATTAAAACTAAGGACGGGAGGAAGGGTGGAGTGAAATATTATTTATTCTGCCGGCACTTTGCTTCTGTAAAAATACTAAGTTTTGAAAAAAAAAATAGAAAAGGTAAATGTTCAGTAATAGTTTTATAATATAGTGAAATAACACCAACTTAAGTGTCTCCAATTATTATAAAAGCTACAAAATAGCTATTATTTTAAGAGAAAACTAGTGCCCTGTCCTTAATGAATCAATCAATTTTCTAGTATATTTCGATTTATCGAAAACAGTAGAATAACATGTTTTTGTAATATACTTGAAGGTACACGTGTATTAATATCGGGTGTTTGCTTTACAACGATTTATCATTTTGTTTTCTTTATCGATGTGCAACATGTAGTCATAAGAAACGAATTTACCAAAATAACGACCGGAAAGGCATAAAACTTTTCCTGAGGGTCCGAAAAGTTCATTCAGTTCCTGGGGTGCAAATTGTAAAATGTATTATCTACGTTTCATTTTTAATGTAATGGGATATGGGGGCGCGTAAAAAAACGGAAAATATTTTGACAAAACCGTATTTTAGCAGACACATAATTTTCTCATCAGCTTGTGATTAATAAACTGATGAACTATATATTAGAGATAGGATAAAAGAATCATACAAAAGATTCGAATCATCTGAATCGATTCACCATATATGATTCGTTCTAAAGATTCGTTCACGTGTAAAAAATGATTCGTATATTTTCATTTATGTAAACAGTGGAAATGGAAACGCACATCGAATCACCCAAGTGTTTTTCTGAAGACAAAAATCGTGACTTCGATTTAACGCTTAGGCGAGAATTCAAAAAATAATACTTCCATAGAAAATCATACATTTTTTTTTATAACTTTCTTTACTTTTGAAAAACATGTGCCAATGTGCGAAATTATACAAAACCTTCGCTCTCTACCAATTAAAATAATTTATACACCTATATCATTGTCTTATCATTAATGACTTATTGGTTCGTATTGACCATTTATTACGATCACCACCATTTTAAATATTTTAAAATTGAGTAGAATACAAAGCAATGAGCATTTT